GAACCAGGGCAATGGTGGTGGGCATGAAAAGAAGGGCGAGGATTAAAAAGATATCGTGGAGAGAGGATTCTCAGGACACAATGTCACTTCACAGATGCTGTTTCCTCTGGTCGTAAATACCCTTCTGTCCAGTAAAACGTCCCACCTGCAAGCCAGGTCTGTATGTACATCCCAAGAAACTAACTCTGATCCTACTGTTTGAGTGACTCCCCCTTGCCTGTGCTCCATGTCATTCTGCCCTCTGCATGTCCCGGTTGTGTCCTTTGCCACATCACAAGAACAGCGACCATCTCTGGTATTTTCTGCCCTCCCTAGAACCAGGAACTCCTCAAAGAAAGGCAGACACTCTATCCTTTATAACGGCAGTCCCATGGTCGCCAATAGAGTTGTTCTCCAAGCTGCTCTGGTTTTCCTGTCTTCTGGGTATGTGCTGGGATTGGCTTCCTGGTTCTCTTGTGGTTGGAGGGAGGCCACGTTATGCCTCTGTCAGACCCTCCGGAGAGGTCCTTTTCTCTGCCATAAAACTGTCACGGGTCCCTCCTGCAGTGTGGGTAATATGGAGCAGAGCTACCGACTCACAATGGACGTGAATGTGAAAGAAACATACGACTGTTGGTGTAAATCCCTGAGATTCGAGGCCTCTTGTCAGAGGACAACGGGTATTGTTAAATCATTAGCTTAGCTGGGAAACAGGAAGAGAAGGGGAGCAAGAATGAATTAGGTTCTGGACATGCTGGATGCAGTGGAATCTCGATGGAGACATGGATGGAAGGAAGTTGGAAATATGAGACTGGTCTTGTAAGATGGTTGGGGTTGGAGAGAAACATTTTTGACCCTTGTAACTTTAGATGATAGTTAAATTATAAGAACAGATTCAATGATTCATGGAGATAATCAAGACTAGGAAAAGAAGATGAAGGAAGAGTGTTGAGAAATGCATACATGTAAGGGTGGGTGTTGGTGGGGAGGGGGCAATGGCCTTGTATAGCCAGGGGGTCTGTGGTGGCTTCGGAGACAGGAGCAGTGGCCGGTGAGATGGACAGCATTATAAATAGGGACGGTCAGGTCAACCCCGCTTGACGGTTCTATCGTGGCACTCTTATTTGACCTGAGATTACTCAACATCTCTGGGTTTCTGAAGCCACTCTCCCTTGTCTTCAGCCCCATGATTTATTAAATGCAGGCCCCGGGTCGGGGGGCACATATGGGGCAAACACACACCTGCTACCTTGGCTCAGAATTTACCCAGACCTGGTAAAGGTTACTTTCTTTGCTTCCCTGAAGACTTGCTTATTTCCAAGTGGGCTACACTGTGGGGAGTTTAGTAGGTGAAAGTCATCCTCTGGATAAGAAGAGTACTAGAACGTTCTCCTTTGCTCATTCAGCACCATCGACTGAACACCTGTCCTGTGCAGGGACTGGATCATATCATCATCCCAAACCGGAATAACTGATGTAGGTTACGGCTCGTTGATATGATTATTTTAGGTCTTCTAATTTAGTTCATTGCTGAGAAGTTTGTGCTGTCTAATTTCATTGTCTCATCTGCTTAACACTGTGAAAGAGACACTTTCTCTATCCTCCTGCTTGGCTAACACACCGCATTTCCCGCGGGCTGCTTTCATGCAGGGAGGAGCCTTAGAGAGGAGATCCAGCCTCACTCCTTTCTTCCTGGGACCTTACAACTGGGTGAATTGATCGTTCCAACCATCATATATGAAAACTAATAGCCACGGCCCCAAAATTATATGGATGAGTTCCTGAATCAAATGAATCTTAAGATTTTCTGGCTCAAATCGGCCTGGGAAGGTTGATGTCTCAGCACACCTGCTGGTCCCTCACGGTGAGACTCCCAGCACCACCAGACTTTAGATGAATTTGCAGTTTCTCGTCTGGCCACGTATGCAATTTCAAATCTGAATGTCTTTGACTAAACTGACCCGAGAGAACACAACGAAACCATTGCCTGTTATTAGACAATGGGCTTTACGCATTATGGACAAGAGCCTGGGGCTTGTCACAGGTCCTTTCACTGGGGGTCTTTAGGGGAAATTGATATCAGCGAAGAGGTTAGCCGAGGGAGTCCCTTCCAGAGCAACAGATTACAGGTTGTGCGGTGTCCTCATTTATCTTCCCATGTTCTGCATTCAACTATGAAATCATTTCAAAGAAAAGAAAGTCAGGGAGATGAGCAAGAGAAATATACAGAGCTCACACTGCCCTCTGGTGTTTACTCGGTGGAGATGGCAAAACATTGCAAGAGGTGACAGCATCCAGAATTCTCACTGTCGAATTACAGAAGCTCGGGATGGAAACAAAGTCCCTCTTTCCAGTAATTTACACTCTCATCCTAATTCCATATGAATAAAACCCCCAAATAATGGGTGGTTTTCCCTTCGAAGAGAAATGCATTAGTCCTCTCTGCTCTTTACTTAGAATGGTATTATTTTATTTTAATCATAGGCCTCGTTTGGGAAATCTCTGTACCTCCCACTCAGGTTTTCTGTCACCCAAAAAGTGCTTTAAAAATAAAGTCTATTCAAAAACCTGGGCCTTGTGGTCTTAGATGTTTGAAGTACATGAACAGCCACGTGCCTCGAGAGATGGAATAGCCTGATTCTGGTTCACTTCACGTTATTGAGGACCGTTCTGGGATTCTGGACCTTCCTTGCAAAACTTACATGCTGCTGCCCAGAAGATCACAGGCACCTTGTAATGATCCTATTTCTGGATCCATAGTGCTTTTTAATATCGTCAAAAGCAGCACAGACAGACCTAGCTAGTGGCAGTCAGACATTAGGTAGGTGAAAAACCTGGTTGTTCATTCCCATTTTTTCTGGTTAGTTGGATCTTAGGATGGTCGTTTTTGGAAGGGTCTTGTTGGGACAGTCCTGGGTGGTCGAACCCCAGTGTTCTGTGCACAGAGAGACTGTGGAAATCCCTTTCTTCTCCACCCTGTGGACAGTTTGAGCATGGCTTCTTGCTATTCTATGGTGGGGAATTCACTGGCTGGGAGGACAGGGACTAACATGGCCCCTCGCATCCACAAGTGGGGCTGTCTCCCCCATGCATCGGTCTGTCTGGATCAACTGCAGATGAGCCAGGCTGGGGTTTTTAGCTTAGAGATAAAGAGCAGATAGAGGGGGAGCTGCTGGTGTTCTGGGTACCCTGCTAGTCTCTTCCTAGGCTGCTGGCGTCAGAACAGCAAATGTGAGTTCTACAGCAAATAGATGGATGAATAAGTGAATAGAAATAAAGAAGCATTTCAAATTCGAGGGGAACGCAGGTATGCCTTACTCTAGCGATGATTTTGTCTCTCTTTGGCAGAATGGTTCTATGTTAGGGCTGACGAGAGAATCAGGGTCTGCGCAGGGGTCCTCCGCGAATCGCCTCTCTGAGTAGCAGACCACGGTTGCCTGGCGCTTCCTCCCAGCACTGCTTAGCATCTCTGAACTTTGACGGTAGGACTCAGCAGGTGGGAATTAACAGCATGTTTGAAACCAAAGAAGGAACCTGCAAGAAAGTTCTGGAGCCCGTCTCTGACCATTTACACATAAATCTTTACTCCAGCTCCAGGGGGGCTGCTGTTGACGAACGTTCTCCAGCAGAGACGCCGAACACAGGCTCTCCCTTGTCTCTCTGGCGCCGCTAATCACGCTCACTGTCTGGGGCACTCCGAGGCCTGGGGGTTCCCTACGGACTCTAGACTTTGGAAAATGTATCACTTTAATTAGAGAATCAATTAATGAATTAGTTCGAGAATGGGAGTCAGCCTTAAAAAGGAAGGAAATCCTGACACCTGCTACAACATGATGACCCTTGAGGACATGATGCTCAGTGAGGTGTGCCCATGACAGAAAGATAAAGGCTGTCAGATTCCGCTCCTGTGGGACCCCTAGAGCAGTCCGATTCACAGAGGCAGAAAGCAGAGTGGTGGCTAACGATGCTGGAAGCAGAGGGTTGGGACGTTAGTGCTTAAGGGACAGAGTTTCAGTTTGGGAAGATAAAAATGTTTTGGAGGTGGACGGTGGGGACGGTTGCATGACAGTGTGAATGTGCTTAACGCCACTGACCTGGACACTTAGAAATGATTAAGATGGTAAATTTTATGTGAAGGTATTTTACCACAATAAAAAACAAAATTAGTTTGTGTATTCATTCCACAAATACTTCCTGAGTGACTATGCCTGTCAAATTCTATGGCCCAGCGGGGGGACAGAAAGAGGGGTCAGCCATGGTGCCTACCTCCGAAAATGCCTTACATATTCCTATGAAGATATCAGGAATTTTTTGTCCCACTTTGGCTTTCTTTTCTCTAAAATTTCCCATTTGGATCTGCTTTTGTATCTGGTCTGAGAAACAGCTTAGCTCTATAATTATGCCTTGGTAGTAATAATATTAATGAAAATAAATACAGCACTGGGAAGTATTAATTACCCTAACTTTTAATTCTGTCACAATGAACGAGGCGGACCACGTAATTGTCAGGGTCACAGATCCGCAGCAAGGGCCCCCATGTCTGGCACAAGAGGGGCTTGCTCGCTCTCCCTCAGTGGGGGATGGGTCCCAGCAGGAAGAAGGGGTGAGAGGTGGGACCACAGGAGGGAGGGCGGAGGGAAGGGGGGAGGCAGAGAGGGCCTGGAGTGCACATAATGACGAGTCCAACAGCAAAATCAATAGGTGTTGTCCACTGACTATCAATTAAGGCACAATTAAGACCTCTGGGTTTTGATTTTGAGAAGCCGGCTGGCAGTTTCGTGGGAAGTCACCAAATAAACAACAATTCTAGACAATTGGGTCCCTTGCAATGATTCAGAAGCATATTTTCAAATGAGGTATAAATGAGGATGTTGCTTTGTGGTGGAGACAACCGGGAGAAAAAATAAAACCACTAGAAACACCCAAGTAGGTGGGAGACAGGAACAAAACTGTCCCCAGGGAGCGCTCGCAGCTTGTTTCTGGAAGGTGCTTGAAAGGCACTTGGTTATTTACCAACTTACTGTGGGATAGGGGTGGGAGCAGAATACAGTGTACTTTCGGATGATGCCGTTCAGCTTGAGAGGGGGAAGCCAGGACACAAACACCATGGAGGCTGAGGCTGCAGCTGCCTTCACTCCTGCAGGAGGACCTGGAACTAGAAGAGTCGTGCGTTTAGTCACAGACATGGGGCTGCGACCGGGTGCTCAGGCCCACGCTGCCCAACACGACCCCCGCTCCAGCTGGGCCTGGCCACTCTCTCCATGGCCAGCTCCTTGAGGATCAGTGCTGACCGGAGAGAGGGCTCCACCGAGTCCCCTCGGAATCCACAAGTGGAGACCCCAATCCCAGAAGCTCAGATTGCAATCTTATTTGGAGAAGGGGTCTCTCAAGAGATGATCAAGTTAAATTATGGTCATTAGCGTGGCCCTCACCTAGTAGGATTGGGGTCCTTATGGAAAAAGGGGAAATGTGGACACAAAGACATGCAGAGAGAGAAGACAATGTGAGGACACAGGGAGCAGATGGCCATCGATAAGCCAAGGACAGAAGTCTGGAACAGACTCTCCCTCACAGCCTCAGAAGAAACCAACCTGGCCCTCACCTTGATTTTGGACTTCCGACCTCCAAACTGTGAGACAATGCATCTCTGTTGTTGAGCCCCCCCGTCTGTGGTACTCTGTTCCAGCAGCCCTAGGAACTGACAGTCTCTCTCAGACAAGAGACCGGTGAACCCCACTAGCCCTGTCCTCAGGCATGTCCGCTAAGAGCCCAATTTTAAGAATCCTGCTAAGTCAGTTCAGCCTGAATCACCTCAATAATTGATCTCTTTTGATACACAATCAACGTCTTCATTCTCTACCATATCCCAGGTAATACCTGATCATCCTAGCGTGCCTGCAGCAAAAGTCCTGTTTGATCCATCTAGTCAGAACGCCCCTCATCCCTGATGTCTCTTGTCCGTAATTTTCCACCCAGGGACCCCACTCCTTCCTCTCCATCCCTTGGCTGTAAATTCCCACTTTCACTTGTATTTGAAGTCAAGCCCAGTCTCTCTCCCTTACCGTGATCCCCCAACTAAGGTGGCCCCCACATGTATACCTCACAGCAGTCCCCCTGAATAAAGTCTGCCTTGCCGCTCTTTAACAAGTGCCATGAATAACTGTTTCTTCCACAGAAATCATACGTTCAGTTCAAGTCCCTGTCTTCCTGGGAGCCTTCCCTCCCCATTGCGGTCCCTCGTGATTTCCTGCCTCTGAACAGCTGGAGACTTTAGCTTCTTGTGCTGCTACTGAGTTTGGCTTTGAACAGGCTAGGGATGTACATCTCGCCTCCTGAGTTAGACAGGAATGAGGGCAAACTTCCATAGTCATCAGGGACCGCTCTTCCTCGCCCGAGACACTTGGTAATGGCACCGTTTTTGGCTGAGGGGAGGTACAGAAATACTTTTGATGAAGACAGACTTTTGTGTCAGAGATTCACAGCTCATGTAGACAACAAACACTCCTCTGTAAACCTTCTAAGAAAGCAGGACATGGTGCTAACAATATTAAGCATAATTTGGGAGTGAGCTTGAATGCACGTACCCTCCCCCCCCCATCTTTCTATTTTCCAGGTTGAAGAGGGAGGATGGAGTGAGGCAGGCAGGCTACAGGAAGAGGCGAAAAGAGCATTAATGTTGCTACTAGATAAGCCTTGAGGATCTTGTTTTGTTCCTCACTGGTCTGTCTACATGGAGGGCGGTTCCCACCTTGATAGAGGTCTTCAAATTCCAACCAATATAAGTCTCTTGTGAGCCCCTGGAGGAATCTTTGAGTCTCTTCCTGCTCCAATAACAACATAACTGCTCAGTAAACATTTTTGGAGTTGAATGTGTGTGTCATGATTGCCATCTCGACTCTTCTAGGTCAAAACAACAAAACCAGCAACCACGGTGAGAGCTAACTTGGGTTAGACATCGTCACCATTTGAAAATATAAAATCTCGGATCAGTTTTTAGCAAGTCCCACTGATGGCAGAGGTCTAGGAAAGGGGACACATGTAAGCGATGACACCTGAATTACTAAGTCCTTAGGAACTGTTGTCCTGAATATGGAGGGCATTTGTGCTCAGGTTTCCTATTGGCGAGGGTAACAACAAAGACCTCCACCAATCTACAACCTGGTTCAGACCCACAATGGCTCCTCCTGAACACCAAGGGTAGAGTGGACATTTGCTTGACCTTTTCATTCTAATGGATGCCCTGGATTCGCCAACCCTCTCCATTCCTTCTGCAAAGCAATCACCTTGCTAGTGTTCACCATGCCCAACACTCCCCCTGGCTAGCTTCCTTCTAGAAGCCCAAGTGCTTGGGCAGCAACCACCTGAGGGACTGCTTAGCAAAAGTCAGTCATGCTTGTTTCCACCTTGTTTGTGACAATTATACTTGTCATGGTAATGCGATTTAATTCATTATGTAAACCAATGAAATATGAGTGCCAAAGAAAGCTGTTTCTGTGACAATTAATGGAACTTCTTTGGAAAAGCTTTCTCGAAGGAAAGTTAAAAAAAGGAAGGTTTGGCTAGGTTTGGGCCAAGACCATTGAGAAAAATGATACACATGGCGAAAACCAAGACAAACAGATTAAAAAAAAAACCTAGCAAAGCGATTGTTGGCAAATGGCAGCATGCTTTACTCCACTCTCAGGAAGCCTAAGCTGGAAATGGCAGATGATCCATGACGGAAACAGTCATGGAACTGATGACATAGAGATCTCTTCACCCAAAACTTAAATGAGACCATGTTATTTAATTAAAGAATGAATAGAGAATCAATCTCTATTTGTATGTTCCAAGTTAAAATGCAATGTACCTTAAACGTACCTTAAAGTATGTCTGTTGGTCACTGTAAACTTTAGCGACTCCTTGCTTTGATTATTTCCAGTAACTTGTCTTGATTAAATCACATCAAAGGGCTTTCACTGCATTTCCTATGTAAATCCCCATCTCACTCCTCATACACTGAGGTATGATCTCTCTTGTGCAATCTTTCCTTCTAGGGTTATTAGAATTTTATACAAAAAAAAATTTATATCACGATGCTGGGAAGTGTGAGCCCTGCATTTTCACTGAGGGCTTTTGTTCAGCTCTACCACTTAGTTCTCTGTCCTGGGCAAATTCATTAACTTCTCCAACAAACCTTAGTCTCCTCATCTATGAAGTTGGAACAATAATTGTACCTATTCACGGTTTTATTGCTAGGATTATGAGAGATAATTCATCTAAAGAATTTATATGGAGTTTTGCATACAGCAGGCACCAAATAAATTCTAGCTATCATTTGTAAGGACAATCCTCATTTCCTTATAGTGCACATCACTAAAGGATCCTAGCCTTTACTTTGTGACCCAGGGTTGAACTATAAACACCAGATGTTGAGAGTTGCAGAAAACAGATGGTGTAGGATGGTCTGTCTGGGAAATATTTTCTTAAAACATTCTTAGTCATCAAGTTACATTTTGTTAATCTGGTTTTTTTTTTTTTTAATGGAAGTACAAGCAAGTTTAGACAATTTTCACGAATTCTAAGCCATTGTTGAGTGGATTTCTGACTTCAGATCTAACTGGTTGAAGTAAAGAATGCCGCTCCAGAGGACCATCTCTTCTGTGTTCTTCCAATTTCCCTATGCCTCCTTGCTGCTTGAAGAAGCTCTTACAGCTCACATAGCCAGTTGCCACTGAGATCTCCACTCAGATTCACAGGTGCCTTAGACCTACCATGTCCCAAACTGGGATCACCGTCTTCCCTTCCAAACCTCCCCTCCTCCTGTACCCATTGCAAGAAATGGCACAGCTATGTTCATGGTTGCAAAATCAGAACCTAGAATTTTCTCCCCCTACCAGCCCCCAGAGGATGTGTAAGATCAGTGAGTTCTTTAGACCTCTACGTGACAAGGTTGGTAGTTGGCCTCTCCCTCTGGCTTAGTGTTCTGCAATATCAGACCATTTTTTAGGTCTCTGGAAGTGGCATGCTTGTCCCACCCCAGGACCTTGATACAGGATGATCTAGGGTCTTACGTTCCTTCTGTTTAGAATCTTTTCCTACTCTCCTTCTTTTCTTTGGCAACTCTTACACATCTGTCAGATTCTACTAATTACTTCCTTGAGAAAACCTTCTCTGACCACTAGGCTAGATTAAGTCAGGGCTCCCACATTCTCTCTTAAGATCTTTCTCCTTCATGGCACATGTCAGGATCCACTCAAATATCTGTCTCCTCCAGCAGCCTACAAGCCCCGCCAGGCCCATCCTGTTCTCTGCTGTATCTCCAGTGCCTGGGGCACTATCTGGAACATACCAATCCTCAATCCAGATTTTCTAAGTGTAAAGAAAAATGATTTCATCAGCTATAGTGTGGTAGGAAGAATTTTAAGATGGTGCCCAAGATTCTCTTCCTCTGATATACATATCTGTGTCATTCCTTCCTGTTGAATGTGGGTGGTAACTGTCACTACGATGGATGGACTATTCCCATGATCAGGTTATGTTCTGTGACAAAGGTGAGGGGATTTTGCAGATATAATTAATGTTCTAATCAGCTGACTTTAAGTCAACCAACAGGAGAATATTCTGGGTGGGCCTGACTTGATCAGAGGAACCCCTTACAAGAGAGGCTAGGGGTCAGAGATGGAAGAAGTCAGAGAGATTTGAAGCAGGAGAGATACTCTCCCATTGGTCTTGAAGAAGCAAACTGTGCTGCTGGGGAGGGGCTATATGACAGGGAACGGCAGGTGGCTTCTGGGCACCGAGGAGATGGTAGACCAGTCCTACACACACAAGGAACCCAACCCTGTCAACAACCAGTAAGCCTGGGAGAGGACCTGACCTCAGACGAGCCCATAGCTCCAGCCAACACCTTGATTTCAGCCTGTGAGGCCTCGAGCAGGGGAGCCAGCTGACCGGTACCTGGACCCCTAACCCATGGAAACGGTGAGATAACAAATTTTTGTTATTTTAAGGTACTAAGTTTGAGGTGATCTGTTATACAGCATAAAAAATGAGTCCGTATAGCTAAGGCCTCTCATGATGTGTGTTAATGTAAAACATCAAAGTTAGTGCTTTGAAAAATTATTGCACTGGTTTGAAGTATGAGTCTGACTAAGTACACACATACTTCAGCCTACTCGTTACTGTCACGATCACTTCTCTGGTCTTGCTCATCAGGCATAGGCAGGGCTGTGTGTGTTATGGATGCTGTGTGTGTACATGGAGCCTGTCCGTATGTGATCCACCACGGTAGCCAGACCCACCCGAGCCCAATGCTGTCCCGAGGATCCCCCCACTCCCCTGAGCCATGCGCAGACCGCATGATGCTGGATGGAACCATCCGCAACTGCCATCGTGGTCATGCCATGCACAAGTCTCTTTCCTGTTCCCATTTCCACAAGATGCTGGTGTTCCTGGCCTTTGCTCTTATAAGAGCGGTATTTTCTAAACATTTTTTAAAGGAGACAAATCCTTTAACTGCGGCACAGGTGGATGTGGGGTGGCTCTTCTTGAACTAGAGGGGGCAGTGGGGAACCCCCCCACGGGGCACCTCTGGGGCTCTGCCTGAGCATCACTGCAGGGCAGGGAGCTCTGAAATCCACACAGGGGAAGGCCTTCTGGGACACCCTGGTCTGTTGTGTTGTTGGTGCACCTGCTGCCATACGGAGTCCAGCCCTGCCACGTGCTCAGTACCTGTCTATGCAGGGGTGACACTCGGGTGGTTAGGCAAATAGACACCAAGAGTCCATTGCTTTTAAGGTGCACTGAGGTGTGATCACACAATACCCGAGAACAGATGATCATGACTCCAGGAGAATGTATGGCTCAAGATCTGGGGACTCCAAGGATTCAGAGATAGCCTGATGTCAGTTTACTCTTCACTCGATCTTAGCTCTGTTTTCAGATGCACCCCCACCCCCGGCCCCGCAAAGAGGCAAAGAGAGTGTGAATCATGGGGGGGGGGAGCACAGATCCCCTATTGCACCTCTTGCTGGCCTTCTTCCCATATAAAATGATTTACAGAGTTATGTGCATTAGTAATGTACTCAGCAAATATTTGAACTTAAACACAACCATCTCTATTTATACATATACAATGTTTACTTTTGCAGAAAAGGATCTGGGCTGTAACAACCTTGTGCCTGCAGAATAAAAATAACAATTGGAAAATTAATAGATTGGGTTTTGTTTGTGTTCTCTTTCCCCACGGCTTTGCTCAGATTATAGTCTTAGCAAATAAAACGGTATTAGGATTTCACAAACCCTTTAGAATTCAGAATTAGCTATCTTGTGTTCAAAAAACAGAAAGTCAGATCAGCAAATAATCTTTTGCGTTCTTGCAGAATAATAAAGTTACAAGTTCTGATTGATTGAGCAGTCTTGGGAAGAGAATCTGAAGCCTGAGCAATTCTCATGGACCCTGAGAATACATCAACAAATCTTGGCGATGTCTGTGGGGCCAAGAGTATGTTTATGGACCCAAGAATATGTCCACAGGTTTAAGAATCTGTCTCCTGGCCCAACAATCTTTATGGAGGCTGAGAAACTTCTTAAGGCACAGACAACTTGTTCTCTGAGCAAACATTTCAATTGTGAATTATCCCTGGCAGAAATAAACTTTTAAAAAATGTTTTAAGTTTTGATTCAATTTATTTATCTTATCTATTTTTAGTTACCATTTTATTCTATTTTTGTATGTTTTATTAGCAAGTGATACATTTTTCCTTCTTAAGATGATCAGGGACCTAACAACACAACTTAAACTCTAGGCTTCCAGACACTGGGGGTTTAGGGACCTTGTCTGAGAAATGTATGGGGCACAGAGGAGCAAACTGAATGCTTTGTGTCAATACATTAATATTTCTTTCCCCATGAGAATATCAATAAACACTGAAACTTCAATCTGTGCCTAGATTAGTGCCTTACTGAGGAAGAACTTAATGAATGTTGGCAGTTATTATTTCACTTGAATTTTATCTACAACCCTACATCATTTTAATTGAATCTGGCAGGTTAATCCAAACCTTCCAAACTGTACGATTTTGTAGCAGAAGTTTAAACAGGATCTATATTCTCAATTTGACTAAGCATTCCTTCTATGATAATTAGCCTTGTCCCTTCTTTCAATTTGATACAAAATTGCTTTCAGTTCTATAAACTGCTCAAATGCCTATTTATATTAGGTATTGAGTTTTTAAGGGTGGCTGGCACAATTCTTCACCATCTCCAAATAGTGAATTTTTCGTGTGTATCTGGGGGAGATAAGCTCATTGTTATACCAGTCTTTCTCTACTTCCTCCTAATCTCTGTTCTGCTTGTTTTTTGAAAATGTTAATGATTTATCCCAAGTAAATACTGACATTCGGTTCTGCATTGCTCTTGAAATGCACACCAGCACATGTGGGATTCTCCACCTCCTTTCCGGGGGAACTGCTAGACCCAAGGCAGGGTCTTTCACCATCGATGGCATCTCCCTACACCACCGGCATTAGATACAAAAGCAGAGAATAACTGATTGACAAATTAGACTTTAGGTCTCAGGGTCAAGCTTTGAGTGAGAACCCCATGATTCCTAAAAGTGGAGGATTAATTAAAAATTGATCCAAAATCGCCAGTCAGTAAGCTGTGGGGAACCTTCCCTTCTTAATGGATTTCTGTACATTCTTCTGAAAAATGCAGGTGTCAAAATTTATGTTGCTAATCAGTTTGCTCTTTAAATAATGATTCCAGTGACATTTGTGTTATTGCTTAGCAATGCAAAAGAATGTGCCACCCCCACTCTGAAGGAGTGGAGATCAAATAATCAAATATCTAGTGTCACGAACCAACCCACTATGTGTCAAGCTAGCTGTTTACACACATCACTTGACTTTTTATATCTTAACTCTGATCATGATGGCAATTTTGTACATGAGTTCAGTTCAGAGGTTAGGTAAGGTGCCCAAAGTCCCCTGGGCAGCAAGCGACAGAGCCAACATCTAGACACGGCTCTTTGTCTACTGCATTTTTAAAAACTACATTATGACCACCTTCACTTAGGACATAGCTTTTTAGATCTCTCCGTTAACGTGTGACTTTCTAACGGCATTTCAATTTGCTCTAAGATTTCCCTAAATAATCCAATTCCTTTGAGCAAAAAAGGTTGATACCTGCACATTCCTGGGAAGAATTACCTGTGTGTTCTGGACAAGTGGAAGCTAATGAGGCTAATTTGTGTGTACCCCCAGTGAAGCAAGAAGGACTACAGACACGGTGAGAATAGTGTGCGAAGGTAGATGGTTGGGGGAGTAGGGCTGGGCCTGCAGAGGTGAGGACAGAGAGTAAGAACAGAGAGGGTATGCTGTGGGTGTCAGAGAAGCTTTGTTAGGGGACAGAAAGGCTGAAGAAAGAGTCTATCCAGGCTTCGGAGCCTGAGTCCCCAGCCTTGCTTCCACCGGATGGATATGGGTGGAACCAGTGTGTTTGAATCCCACATAGAGATGGAGGGTGCATCAGCATCAAACCTGCCAACGGGAGGTCATAAGAATGGCTAACACCTCCCGCACTATGCTCTGCCCAGCTTCCTGGGAACAGAGTCCTGGAAAGAAGACAAAAGTTGTAGATCCAAAATCTGCACTGAATTTCGAGGCACTGGTGTCTCATCCCCACCCTATCTCTGGGACAGTTCTGTGCTCTGATTTGGAGAGTCCCACATTGGTATCATTTGACATAGTTGCTCCTTCCTTTCTTAAGGTGGAGACGGTTTTTCTCACTATAGCTATATTTATCAGAACTTTAACTCTTTTTTAAATAGGCTCAGATACGGCACTTCAGAGTTTCCCTTAAAATAATACAAAAAAACAAAACAAAACCCTAAAAAACCACTTGCCATATAGTTTTTGAAGGTCTGGGAGTCACACAAGCAAGTCTACATTGTTTGGAACAGCAAGAATTAATGGCCTGAACCAAAGTGAGCCGTAATTTAAAATTTTACTAAATCACTATGAATTCCTCTAAATAATTTTTAAAAAATTAATACAAAGCTCTCAAACTAAAGATCTATTCTAAAGTGATTCTGAAGCTGGCGTAGAATAATATGACTTAGACCGTTACGAAATCTTCCAGTGGAAGGATGGAGATCATCTGAGCCTACACTAACAGATGATGAGTCACGGAAATTATTCTGATGGGATAAAAAACAGGTATGACGTGTTTCACAGCTCTGTGACAAAAGGCATTTTTGTTTAAATAGTACTCGGCCAAAAATTTTTTTTAAAAAGAAGAAAAATTCTAAGGGAGAGAAACGATGGATACATCGAACAAAGGCGACCCAGGAAGTCGACGGTCTGAATTGCGCTGGAATGTCTTGGGAGGGCAGCCAGTGGTTTGCCCAGAGCAGAGTCAAGGACAGGCCCATGAAGGAACACGGGGCTCTGGGACCCTCCCAACACCAGCTCCTGTCCTGATGCTGTCGCTCCATGGGGCCTCGAGCATCCCCCACAACACACACACACCAGCCCCATCTCTCACCATCCTCTTTGGTCCGAGTGAAGATCTGCTCACTTCTGACGCCGTCCCCGGCGCGGGTAAAGGCCAGCACTTGGATGCTGTAGTTGGTATACTTCTCCAGGCCATCCAGCTCCAGGGAAGGCTGTGTCGTGGTGACGTTTTTAATCTCGCCCAGCTCTGGAGGACAAGAGAACATGACCTGGTGACTGGCTGTGGGGGCACTGGGCTCGCCCTCCAGCCGCCACACCCCGAAATCACTCCAAGGGGCTGTGCATGGCCTCATTCACACGGAACTGACCCAGAACAGAGGGGGCAGAATGTCGTTCTGGAAAGCAGAGCGATTCACTCCACGTTAAGTGTTAGAACTCAATGCCGACCGCCAGGGCCCAACGCCCCCAGCAGCCAGTCAAGCATGCCCCCCACACTGGACCCAGGGAGCTTGGGACTGCACATCGCTCATTCTGTGGGTGTATTTCTAATTGCTCATCAAGAAACTTCTGCAAGTCGAGTTTTGTTTTTTGTTTAAAAAGCAAACAAGCTCTACTCTGATGGTCGTGTATTTTTAAGTACCTAACTTCTCAGGTGTTTGAACTGAGATGAGGTGGCTCAGCAAACTGTTCCTCTTACCTGGAGTGACCTCCCCCTCCCCCAGCCTCCCTGCTGAATCAGTGACATGCTGATGTGTCAGAAACGTGGTGTTAGCTAAAAACGCTCCATTTTCTGGAGTGGGATCAGCTAATCATATTCAAGGGTGGAATGTTATGCTCTCCCATCTTAGGCATATTAGAGAGGGCAATTTGAGAAAACTTACAATGATGTGTTAAAGACCTCCATGGGTGTTCTGGATTTTGAAATGAGCCACCTACAGAGCACCTGGAGCAGGAGATCATGGGATGAGGACTGCTCACCCCCAGACACAACCATCCGTGGCATGTTAGCATTGCCTGTGCCCAGTTACTAAGAGGACGGGCATGGAGCAGGCTCAGCAGGGATTCCTTGCTGGGTGGCTGGCTGTTGTGAAGGCCACCCGTGCATACGGTTAGCAAGCTGTAGGGCCGTCAGCTTCTCTCCCTCTTGCCCTGGCAAAGACAACCACCAACCACCAAACTCATTTAACCAGTACACCAGTCCTATTTTCTCCACGACCCATTCATGTTGCAGGTAGGGAAACTGAGGCAGGGGGCGGGTCAGTACCTTGCCTAAGGTTATGGAGCCTAGTACAATCACCGAGAGCACGGCCCACGGAACCACAGTGCCTGGCCTCATGTCCACAGACCACGGTCTCCGCACCTTGCTGTAGTCGCTCAGTGAAAATGTCACATTGGTCAGATTAAACGGACTTTCTCGTCCTGCCCTCTGTCTTTCTGTCCTCCGGTCCTTCTGGCATATCGCACAGAAGGCCGCCTATTAATTAACAGCCACCTATTTTGTGTTAGTGACAACTCTAGAATGTCTTTTTGTCTTTCTGGTTTCTGTCAGAGCTGGACATAGGTGGAAAGTTAAATCTCAAATAGGGCCCCGAGTGGCCCAGGCTTGTCACGCACCTGCCAGGACCCCTGTGTGGGGTGAGGGCTGAGAGCCCACAGGCATGGGAAGGACGGTGGGTCCCAGACACAGCTGTAGGCCTGAGCGTGAGCCCAAGGCGCATCACCACCTCGAGCAGATCGTGGGCCAGTCCTGCGGCCGGATGCTGTGCTGGGGGGAAAGGAGGCAAGGAAGGCAGTCCCCAGAAGGTGCCTTTGGCCTGGGGTCTTCTGGGGAGGCCAGCAGGGTGAAGACTTTTCAGGGCCACAATTTGGAAGCCTCAAGAGATGGCTTTCGAAAGTGAAAAGATATTCGCTCCTGCGTGGGGTCGCGGCACATTCAGAGTGGATAACCTTTAGGCCTGATGGGTTAGGAAGCCTCCCCTCGGAACAGGAGGGTCCGCCGGTGACCACCAGAACTCCTCGTATTATATTATCCACTTAAGATGTTCGTTTTCCTGAACAGATCTAATATGGGTCGAGTGGATGAGGATAAAAAAACTCAAATGCTAATGGGAAAAAAAAATTAAGTATAGATCTCATCAAGATCTTTTCAGATTTAGGAACTTCCATGCTGTGCCAAAGCTTGCTCTCTCTCTGTCTCTCTCTCTCTCTCACACACACAAACACACACACACCCCAGGGAAAACAGGGTTCCACTGGGCTGCATGCCAGCAGCTAGTTATGAGACCTTGTCTACTCATTTGATCTCTGGGGACTTTGGGTTTTTTTTTTTTTAAAGGTTTTATTTATTTATTTGACAGAGAGATAGAGAGAGAGCACAAGTAGGCAGAGCTGCAGGCAGAGGGAGGAGAAGCAGGCTCTCCGCTGAGCAGGGAGCCCGATGTGGGGCTCGATCCCAGGACCCCGGGATCATGACCTGAGCCGAAGGCAGCTGCTTCACCGACTGAGCCACCCAGGCGTCCCGGGACTTTGGGTTTTTGCATTTGTTTTTAAATTTTTATCTTTAAGAAGGGCCCCGGGGTCTCTCCCCACTAGAGAGAGTGGGCTGCAGTCTTGCTGCAGGAGAAAGTGGTGCTGATGCATCCGGACAGTTCCTGGGTAAGACACAGTGATGGGGAGGAGGATGGCTACAAGGGACAAAGTGAAGTGGATCATCTCCATCTTTTTAAAGAAAGCAACGATTAAAGCAGAAGAATTCCATCTACTCATGAAGCACAATGCGGATTAGAATTAACATTTGGATGTTTACTCGTCTTGGGGTTCATATTGCTTTGATGAGCTGATTTATTCATGAACCAGGAATGTGACTGCAGTCAGAACCCCCATTCAAGATTACCCCCCAGAGGGTCCTGACATGGTCCGGGAGGCACACTGGGCATTTTCCTGACTGGCAGATACTCGATGCTTAGCAGATACAGAGAAAATAGAAAGGAAAATGATGACAAAAAGCCCGATCAAAACAGCATGCTTCATTTGCCATTCTTTCGAGCTTTTGTTCTTTTTTATAGTTTAAGCAGGATTTCTATCGTCTACCTTTTACAGACTCCATGGAGTTATTTAAAAAAAAAAAAACAACCCAGTAACTAAAGAATAATGTTCAGTTGAAATCATGAATAAAATAATATGAAATGAATATATAAAATAAATTTAGACATATTATTTCTACTATAAAAATTTTTAACTTTCTATTTTAAAACGAATTGTTTTCTGTATTCATACCCTCCCTCCTCAAAGAGTCTCAAGGCAAAAAACAGGGGTGGAAATGACGTTTCTAAAGTACCGTCAACTGCCCACCATCGAAGTGAACGTCTGGTCGGCACTAAATGCTGTCTCGCTTCAGAAGCACCGTGCTGTCTCGGGGAAACACAGAAGAAATGACAAAGAGTTCAGATGCAGATGGAGATGTGACTTCAAAGTGTACAATTTTTCTGTCAATTGCAGATGAATGGCCTTGTCAAGTCTTGAAAAGTATCGAACTTTCAGGTTATGATAAAATACTCAGAAATTTCACCAACGTGTTGTATGGTTAGCGTCCCCCAACGAATGTATTCACCACTTTTATCTGACCACATTAACAATAACGAGACGCTTTCCTACATGTGTGTTTGAGGCAACTGCTAATCACAGTGGTAGTAACAATCTGTGTCTCCCAGTCTGTCAGTGTGTGTGCCTGTGTGTGTGAGAGAGGATGTATGTGTGAGTGTGTGTGCCTGTGAGTGTCTGTGAATGTAAGCGGATGAACGTGTGAGGGTTGTGAGTCTGTGAGTGTCTGAGTGTGAACAGATGTATGTGTGAGGGTTGTGTGTGAGTGTGAGCGGATGTATGTGTGAGGGTTGTGTGTGGGTCTGTGAGTGTGAGCGGATGTATGTGTGAGGGTTGTGTGTGGGTCTGTGAGTGTGAGCGGATATATGTGTGAGGGTTGTGTGTGGGTCTGTTGAGTGTGAGCGGATGTATGTGTGAGGGTTGTGTGTGAGTCTGTATCAGTATGTGTCTGTGAGTATGTGTGTCTGAGTGTGTGTGTGTGTGTGAATGTGAGTGTGAGAGTGAGTGGGTGGTGTTTTCTCAGGGTTAGTGGGACCAGTCCTTTACACAGTCACATGTTTTCATGACTCCTCGGGACAGCAGCCCGAGGAGTTTCTGTGGAAGCATCCAGTAACCCCGTGGAATTACCTGCTAATTCATACATGTCACTTCTTGTAAGTAGCAGGTGAGGAGAGAGTGTTCCTAGCAGGTTTATGTCTCTAAGGGTTTCCTTCTCATCTTTCGGAGATTAAGTGTAGAACTCCTACATTAGACATTAAGCACACCACTTTGATCTTAATACAGTGAGCAAAAGTATCTTTAGGAACTGTATGCATTTCCAAGCAGTCTTTATTTAAAGACTTTTATGTTTTTGAATATTCAAGTTTTTAAGGCTTTAGAAGCATCAAGTCAAAAGAACCGTATTAACCACATCACTCTTCGTGGAGCTAAGGTGTTAATAGTATTAACAAATACGAGTGATGTGTGAAAATGTGTATGATAGGATGAGTAGCCACCACTGGATCCTGGAAACAGCTCCAACAGGAACAAAAATAGAACAATTTCAATGTCACACTGCCTCTAGGTGAGTGTGCTCAAGTATTTAGTTCTGTCTCATTCAAGACGAGGATGAGAACAAGTATACACAATGCCATAGTATGGCATCATGCCAATAAGATGGATACTTTTACAAATTGTCATTGCTCTACACTTTATGTCTATGGGATTTGTAAAAGCTTTTTTGAGGCACAAGAGGGTGAAGTTGTTAAAAGAATCATCTATATAGATCTGTCCGTCTCTGGGGCTGGCTGTGCATTATTGGGCTTGTGGTTCTATGTTCACTAGATTCTCCCTCGCTCACTGGTCTGGAACATCCAATAGGGCAGACGCTGCGTCCTCTGTGTCTAGCACGAGCCCAGCACAGAGCAGATGCTCAGCTAATGTGTCTGCCTCAGATCAAGCAGGTGAATCTTTACAGAACGTCTCTAGTGCCGGGTGATGTGGGAGGTGCTATACTCAACAGCAGGAGGAACCGGGTCTGGTCCTCAGCCCTGAGAAGCAGGTCTGGCACAGACATAAATAATTAAGCCTCCAAAAGCTGCTCTTCCCTTGGCAAATTTAAGCTTATTTAGCTAAGTGTCTTCGTTCCTTTCTTCTTGCACCAATATTAGAGCCCCCTGCAGCCTCAGACCCTGTGTGTTCTGTTTACTGGGGTGGGGACAGCCACCTGCTTGGCAGAGCAGCCCCAGGTGGCCTGAACAGGGGTGGGATGTATCTGGGGGCGCTGGCTGTGTTTGCCCAAACTCAGAGGTGAGCATGCACTAGGAGTCCACATGCAGTCAGAGGGGTTGAAGGAAGCCCCAGGCCAGAGGAGAGGCATTGCCCTGGGGCAGGGGTGCAGAAGGCAGCTGGGGAGGAGAGAAGGGGAGGGTGCGGGTGTGGGCCACACAGGTCTTGGGATGCAGACAGTGAGCAGAGCTTAGCAGCTCCCCTGTGAAGGCCGCAGGGCGGTGTGTGCCTCTCCTGGTCACGGGGCGGAGCTCAGGCTGGCCCAACAGCACTCGCCCCATGAAAGCATCACCACACTGAGACGTATTCCCTGCAAGAAACTTCTGGCCCCAATCTTGCCACTATTTGTGCGGGTCACACTCTCATTCAGTCTTGGCCAGACACACAGAAGGAGTTTGTCCTATAACTTGAAAGAAAAAGAAACAAACACAGAGAAACAAGAAGAATGAAGGAAGAGAAACAGAAAAAGGGGAAGGAGAAGGAGAATAAAACAGAAGGAGAAAAAATGGAGGGTTTTGTATGAAATGGCTCTTTGCGAGAAGTAACAATATTCCTGGCAGGGTGTTCTGGCATTCCCCCTGAACCCTCTCATGGGTCAACCGCAGGGACTTAGGAAGTTGCCCTGTTGAGTTTTATCAGGAAATTGGAAGAGGTCAACCTTTTAGGATACACATCACATAGAACCTTCTAGAATCAGATCAATGTCTTGGTGCTGCATGCAGAGGCTTGGCATAGATACTCATCTAAGAAAGCACATCCATGCCAACATTTCCCCAGTGCCACCCCCTCCGATACCTCAAATTGCTTTTTGAGGATACATGATGTTTCAAGCAGCTCTATGCACCTGTGAGAACACACGATGATTGGTAAGAACAGAATGACGTGGGGAGAGTGGACAGTGCCCATTGAGAAAGATGTGCTCTCCATTCCCTGAAACCTACTTTAGGAGGGGGGTCTGCTAATCCCATCACGCATTCTCTGGGGCAAACTCACAGCCCTAGTTTTCATCCTCTTACCTCCGTCCATCAGGTTGGCCCAGTAAATGACTCTAAACCCCTGGAGAATTCCATTCAAGGCTTCCTTGGAAAGTGTGGACCAGGATATTGATATGCTTTCTGGTGATGTTGCTATGGCTTGGACATTTTCAGGGGGGTAACTGGGCACTGAAATTAAATAATTAGAATCTGTAATAACTGTGGGTAGTTTAATTGGCAAAGCAATACGGAATAAGCAACATTAGTTTAACATTTCAATATGCAAGCAAAAGAAAAAATCACACTCAATCCATAAAATTAAGGGGGGAAAATGAATACCATTTCCCTATTCAAATAGTATGATAACTCCATAAAATAATGTGAGTTTATGCGTAAGTCCTAACAGACTTCCAGTCTCTCTTTCCAGCTTAACCGCTTCACGTTGAGGGAGGTTGCCCCGGGACTGAGGAGCAGAGAACACTTGTGGTCTTACTGCAAGAGTAAAAAGCCATTGCTTCTCTGGTTTGTGTCCCCATCACTCTTGTGACTGTTTGACGTTACATTTGCTTTATACAGTACATATCCTCTGCATTTCGTAGCATATGGCATATAAATGGGAAGCCTGGCTACTGAAAGGTACTGAAAAGCAGACATGTAGTCATAGCTTACTCACTGCCCCCCTCCCTGGTAAACCCCCCTTGCAAAACTATACCATTGTGTCAGAGGAAAGACAGTAAACAGACTGAGATGGGGGCTGTTTGAAATGTTTTTCACATCGAGTTTATCCAGACCTTAAATGCTGTACCTGGGAAAAGGGACAAAACATCAACAGAACCATACACATCAATGAAGAGTTAGCATTGAGGTGAAAACCAAAAGGCATATGTAATCATGATTGCAAAGATCATGACACTGGATGGAAAATCCCAGTCTCTGGGTTTCTGGTTTTCTAAGACTTCTCTCCGTAGAAATGGTCAGAAATTATGGATGCAAGTCACCCTGTGCCTCTTCAAACCTATGATCACATGGCTAACTGCACAAGAGGTAACTGCAGTGCAAATTTGGTGCCTTAAAATCTACACTTAGTGCTACAATGAAGCCCATATTCTATCTCTGCCCCTAACGTGAGGTCTCTGGACACAGAGCTCTTTGCTTTTCAAGCACTCCTGGAACAGTCATGGGAGAAGGCGAATTAACTCCTTGTGGTCATTAGGGGGCGCTCAGTCACCGTGAGATTTGCGCCAGGAAGCCTGCTTATTCCTTGCTCTGGTCCAAAGTGCTTGGAAATAGGAAGCAATCATAAAGAGAAAGAAAAGGAAGGAAGGAAGGAAGGAAGGAAGGAAGGA